CGCCTTGCACGCCCGGGATCCCATATGTGCGCCGGTTCTATCCCAGCAGCCCTGCTTCCCATCCAGCTCCCTGCCTGTGGCCCGGGAAAGCAGTCGAGGAATCGAGGACAGCCCAAAGCTTTGGGACCCTGCACCAGCGCAGGAGACCCGGAAGAGGCTCCTGGCTTCGGATCGGCATAGCATCACCGTTGCGCTCACTTAGGGAGTGAATCATCGGACGCAAGATCTTCCTCTCTGTCTCCCCTCTCTGTATATCCGCCTTTCCAATAAAAAAATAATAATAAAAATAAATCTTAAAAAAAATAATGAAATTGATTTCTCTTCCAGTATTATAATGGGTGAGCCTTCATGAATATTCCTAAATTCATCATTCCGCTACTGAAGTGTTTCCCATCATTGTAGGCATGGACGATGTGATGTCAGAGAGCCCAGCATCCTACAGTCAGGATATATTCAACAGTTTCATTGGGAGTCCATCTTTGGTCTGGATGCAGAGAGACATACTGCACTGTGTCTCCATACCTAGACATGTAAGTCTCCACTACACTTGTGTTACACATCTCCTTAAATACAGAGTCAGAAAGTGCGGTTCACAATAAGGAGAAAAACAGGAAACTTTCAATGACGTGAAGTTCAACAACGTGTGAGCCATTTCCTGCTGCCTTCCCAGGCCATTAGCAGGAAACTAGATCAAAAGTGGAGCAGCTGGGACTTGAACTCACTCCTACATGGGATTCTGAAGTTGCAGGCTGTCATCTACACCCCAATACCAGCATCTAAAAATCATATTGGTTGTCTTGTTCCATAGATAACCCACCTAGGATTTCCCAATGAAACAAAATATTGCTGACACATATTTAGAATCTTCTCACTCTAACTTGGAAAGACACTTGCTCTGAAGTTGCTTCTCGACAAAAAAAAAAAAAAAAAAACCTATACAAAATTGTCCCACAATTCAAAATTCAAAATAAAAATACATTTAAAAAAAATCCTTCCACTGCCAAAAAATTGCAAGCACTTCAGCTCCTGGGGGTTTTGCCCTGTAGCACGGGCTCCATATTGACAGGTGCACGGAGCTGAATGGGCAGGAATGACCCGCCCGGCTGCAGAATGAAAGGATTTTATTTATCAGGAACATTCCATCTTGCATTCCTCCAAAAACAGGCCCTGGTGCCAAGTACAAACTGTGATATGAATCGGAGGCAAAGAGCAAGTTGGCTGACAGAGTTGTACCCAGTTTTTTATATGTCCTTCCAGAATTTTTTTCCACCTTTTTGGCAGGAACAAACATGTGTTCCAGAGGTAAAGCATTTCTTTCCATTCTACTGCTCCATCTCCTTGATTCTGTCTTTGTCATGGAGTCTTCGCTTTGAGCCCCTCTTTCAGCTACACTTGGTGTAGTGGAATATACCACCTGCTGAGATCCCTGAGTCTACGAACTGTTTAGGACTGTGAATGCATGAATCCACTGATGAATTCAAAGCAGAGAGCTAGACATTTGGCCAAAATCATGTAAATTATGAGTGAATGCAGTGGCTGGCATTGTAACATAGTGGGTAAAGCTGTCATCTGCTATGCCAACATCCTGTTTGGTTGCCAGTTCATGTCCCTGTTACTCTGCTTGTGATCCAAACCTCTGCTAACACACCTGGGAAAGTAACAGAGGATTGCAAGGGCTTGAGGCCTGCACACATATGGGAAACCCAGAAGATCCTGGGTTCAACCTGGCCCAGCTCTGGCCTTTGCAGCCATTTGGGGAATGAACCAGCAGATAGAAAGCTCGCTCTCTCTCTTTCTCTCTCTTCCCCCCTCTCTGTAACTCTTTCAAAAATGATTTAATTTTTTTTTTGTATTTTTTAAAAGCTGGTATCAAATTTATTTGTACAAGCGATTGGTATGTTAAGAGTATCCCATGGGCTATGGAGACATTATTATCTTACTATTTTCTTTGATCCTCTTGTTTAGTGGCTTGCTTATGGTGCTCTTGTGGCAACTGGAATCACATTTATTGATTTCACACATTTATCTTACCCCTCCATTCCATAGTAAGTATTTTCAAGACAAGGGCCTGGTTTTACTTAGATACACGATTTGCCTGTAAAAGCACATAGGTACTCAGGACCACACTGTTCAATTGAACTGAATGGAGAGAGAAATATCTTCACTTAGGCCTGTACTTGAGCTTGACTTCGGGACTGCGGAATTCACATTCTCAGCTGCTTTCTTTGCTATCGTAACTTGGGACATAAACACGTTGGAGTCTCAAGGTTTCGTTATTCATTCATGGCGCCTGTTGTGCGCCTCATGTGGCAACATGCATGAGTGCCTGTTTGGATAAGATCTTTTTCCAAGTGTTAACATTTTCTTCTGACTCGGCAGATTGGTTCTTTCACTGGCTCTAAACAGGGCCCAAAGTTGTGGGTGGCAAAAAATGCAGCCTGTGCACCACATGTATTCCATCAGCCAGATTGGAAACATGGAGGGTTCCTGAATTCCAGATGTCATCCGCACTTCTGGGACAGTTTGCTTCGGAAAAGTCAAGTCCGAGAGATTCAGAGCCAATGATGGCGTAGGTCCTTGAGCACGCATTGCCCACCCTGCTCCCCGCCACCCCCTGCCTCAGCCCTCAACCTCCCACCCAGCTCCAAAGATTTTGTCTACTTCTAATCAACTACTTAGAAATTCCCAAGAAATCTTGGCACACACTTGTCTATTCCCCACCGCTTTCTCCCTCTCGAGTATGTCTGTCAGCTTTCTCCCTCGTGCCTTCATGCTTTCATTACTTTGCTCTCCTTCTCTTCCCCATGAACCAGTCTTCCCATTGTCACAACATCCCCATCCCCACCCCCAAACTCCCAACCCCACGGTTAGCCGTATTGATGACATTTGCTCAAACTTTTCATTAAGGACAAACACTCAATGATATGAGCTATACTCTGAAGCGAGAGCGAGATGGAGAATCGGAATGAGACTTGGAAGCAGTCAGGGACCAGCCAGTCTTGTGACGACAAAATGACAGGTGGTATCTGTGCTGCTAACTGCCCCTCCTGATCTGTGCTGCGCACCTACTGCTCCTTCTGGGATCGCCTTGTCCCAGAGCCTGGACAGGGCTACGGAACCCTTCTCAACATCGAATGTTGGAGCTCTCCCGCCTTCTCTTAGAATTGGTCTGCAATTTGATATCGTCTCCATAACCTTCTCTGGAGCTCTTTGTCTTATTAAGAGAGTCAAATGACTTAAAAGAGAGGGTTCTTCAGGGAGGGTTTCTGAGCCAACAGCAAGCCCATCATCTGGGAACTTGGTATAAATGTTAATTCTCAGACTCCAGTACAGACATAAGGAGTCAAGAACTCTAGGGTTAGGGCCTAGCAGTGTGTGTGTGTGTGTGTGTGTGTGTGTGTGTGTGTGTGTGTGTGTGTAATACAAAATCCAACCATCTGTAGGTGTACAACTCAGTAGCAGTAAGTCAAAATGCTGTATTACCATCACCAGTATTCATTTCCACAACCTCTCCATATCTCAAAGATTAAGCACTCCCAGGTTCCTAAACCTCCAATCTGATTACCTCTATTCTACGCTGTGCCTTTATGAATTTATCTGTTCTAGGTACCTCATATCAAAGGAATCAGAAAATATTTCTTGCTTTATGTCTGACTTATTTTATTTAGCATAACTGCTTGAGGTTCATTTATGTTGATGCGCATACCTGAACCCCACTCCTTTTTAGGGCTGTATAACATTCCGTGTAAGAATAGGCCCCCCTTTTTGTATAGCCATTGATCTACTGATGGGGATTGGAGTTGTTTCCACCATTTAGCTATGGTGAATGCTGCTATGAACACCGGTACCCATGCACCTGTTCGGTTGTCAGTTTTCAGGTGCTTTGAGTGTATACTGAGATGCAGAACTGCTGAGTTTCATGGCAATTCAGTTGGCTCTTTGAGGAGTCACCAACCTATATTTCCCACTTGAAGTCCTGTTTTCACTTTCCGTCAGCAAGACATAAGAAACTGAATTTTTTCTTTTCAAATTCTTACCAGTGTTTGTTTCTTTTCTTTTCTTTTCTTTTCTTTTTTTTATGAAAGTCATCTTACTGGGTATGAAGCAATATCTCTTGTGGTCCTAATTTTCATTTCCCTAATGATGAATGATTTAGACTGTCTTTATGTAACTTTTACAACTTAAACACACACACATTTCTTCAGAAAAATGTCTATTGAAATCCTTTGCCCATTTTTAATTGGACTATCTTTTTGTTGTTGAATTATAGGGTTTCTTTATATATTCCAGATATTAATCTCTTATCAGAAATATTGGCTGCTAATATTTTCTTCCATTCTGTTTTTTTTTTAGCATGGTATTCATAGTGACCTCTGAGGTACAAAAAGTTTCAGTTTTGATGAAGCCTGGTCTGTTTATTTCTTGTGTTGCTGTATTTTGATGACATATCTAAAAACATGTGGCTAAATTCAATGTCATGACACTGGACTCTGTTTTCATGTAAGAGCTTTACAGTTTAAGATCGCTAATTAATTTTGAATTGGTTCTATATTTTGGTTAATGTTGTAAAGGTCCAACTTGATTCTTCTGCATGTGGAAATCCAGTTTTCCTCCTCCTGTTTGTTGGAAAGACTACCCTTTCCCAATTCGATGATTTTGGCAGCCTTGTCTCAGTCTGCACGCGCTGTAAGTAATTCTGACACGCTTCCCAATTACTACCCTGAGTGCAGATTCGTATCCTTATCTTATATTAAAACAAGATTAAGAATGCCGTGAGCAAATAGTCTTCCAAATGCACAGAAGGTATTTTAGCTTGGAATTGCTCCTGGTTTCTTTTCAATAATCTTATGGAAATACTAAATAATGACAGTATCTCTCTCACAAAGGAAACTGATCAATTTGATTCATTCTTGCTTTTAAAGATTGACTTTTTTTTTCCATTTTATTTAAACTTTCTCTTTGTTTTATTTGAAAGACAGGGAGGAAAAAGACAGAGAGAAATTTTTATCCACTGCTTCACTCTTCAAATACTTGCAACAGTCAGGGCTTGGCTTGGCTGAAACGATGAGCCCAGGTTCAGGTCTCCCATGAGGGTGGCAGGGACATATCTGCTGGAGTCACCATCTGTTGTTCCCCTGAGTATGTGAAAGTGGGAAGCTACATCGGAAACAGGGAAGTCAATACTGGAACCAAGCACCTCAGTATAGGATGTGGGCATCCCAAGAGGTGATTTAACCCATTCAGCCAAACACCCAAATATTTTCATTCTTGTAGTAATTCGAAAGTGATCCTCAGACCAATGCCTTGCCATATCGGACCAAGCCTCCCCCTGTGGTGCCAGCATCACCGTGTAGATGCCAGCTCAAGTCCTGGAAATTCCACTTCTGATCCAGCTCCTTGCATTTAAAAGGCAGCAAACAAGAACCTGAATCTGAGTTCCTGGGTCCCTGTACCCACGTGGAAGATTCAGAAGAGACTCCAGGCTCCTGGCTTTGGATCAGTGCGGCTCTGGCCATTGCGGCCACTTAAGGAGTGAATCATCGGACAGAAAATCTTTATCTCTCCTCCTCTCTGTATATCTGACTTTCCAATGAGAATAAAAAATAAATCTTTTTAAAAAAAACCTTTAAATGCATCTGTTTATTGTTTGTTTTATTTGCGAGGCAGAAAGAAACACAAAAAGAGAGACAGAGTTTCCATTCATTGGCTCGCTCACTTAATGCCTGGGAGGCAGCAACTTAATCCAGGTCTCCCACATGGGTGGCAGGGACCCCACTGCTAGAACCATCTCTCTGCCTCCCAGGGTATGGCATGATCAGGAAGCGGATGGTGGAGCCAACACGCCAGCACAGGCCCTTCAGTCCAGGCACTCTATCATGAGATGCAGGCGTCGCTGGCATCAGAACAGCCCTGCCAAACACCTGCCCCTGCAAGCACAGTTTTCTAACACTCTTCGTAGTCATCACATAGAATACATCCTCGAACGAGTTTTTCACCACATGTTCATCTAAAGTCTAGTGTACAGAATGGACAAAGACATACTCACAAAGCCCAGTTCTATTTTATGTTAACATCTAATTTGAACCATGCTCAATTGGTAGCTAGCCTTCATGTTCCAAGATCCTTAAAGAAAAAATTATGCATAATGTATCTATTCCAAAAGGGTTTTTTTAAGGCACCAAAAATACATTTATCTTTTAGTTCCACTTCTCCATAAACTTTTTGAAGTACACTCTATTTAATGAAAAAAAGAGTCTAGCAAACCATAAATAAATCTACTTATGCAGTTAAAATCTGGCTTTTGTATTGCCAAAATAGATCAGCCACTTTTAAGTATGGTAACCATATGCAAGTCCAAGCTTTGCAACAATACCCAGAAATATATCTGTAGCATAGCCCTGGAAGAGAATGACATCAGGGTTGCCAAACATTGCAAAATTCAGTGACACTCACCAACTTCAACTTACTATTTAAAAGTCAGGCTGATTTAACAGAAAAAAATTGGACATTAGTTCTTAGTTATCTCCATTGTTCAATGGTCGGTCATCATCCAATCTTGTAATAAATGTTAGTTGACTAAAGTAGTAAAGGTTAAAACGTTTAAACCACAGACTGTAGACCTCAGAAATCAAGTCAATATGTCTACAGGGGAGAATTATTAGAAGATTCATGAAATCTGGCCTGAACAAATTAATTCATCAGTTGAGCCAAAGGTTTGTCAGTGAATTCAAGGATCTTCTCAGAAAGAAGAACATCTGTTGTAGTTTAGCTTTCCATTTATAAGTGGATACTGTGGATTGTTCTTTCTGGAAAGGCCTACGCAGTTTACACAAATCCATTGGAAAGTTAATTTGAATCTGTTGTACTTGAGGATGAGCAGGGGGCAAGCCTTAAGGGGGTTGGACCATTACCGCCTTCTCCACCCCTTCTTGATGATGGAAGGGAATTAGAACCTCACTGAGACTGAGAGAGGCACCCAGAAACTATGATGTCCAGGAGGAGAGAACCGTCTGCAACAGTGAGCCAAGCCAGCGCCGACTTGTACTGCGTTGAAGTCATATATTTCATGGGAGACTCACAGCTACTTCCACACATTACACACATGCCATGAAGCCGATGTTTATACACATTAAAAGTTAGTACCTTAATTTAAAGCTAACTTTCAAATTAGAAGGAGCACCACTTATTTTGAACTAAGTAAGGCAGGTGGTAATGTACACACTGAAACGTCAAGAGAACTGAAAGTTCATGAAAGTGCTCAAATCTGCACCATCAGCCAGGGGCGGGGCCAGGACCATTGCCACTTGAACCCAGGCATCATTCTTCCTGTCGTAGTATGCTTCCTTCCTAATGGCTCCTAGCTGTGTTTCCACAGGTAAGTAGGCTTGTCATCAGAGGGCATGACCCTGGCCTGAGGTTCCAAGTCGGATCCATGACCCAGCCGCACCTGTAATTCTCCTTCAAACCCAATGAGTCATAATCTTCTATCTGACAAGTTTCCTAGATGTCATTATTTGAGAACTTCCGTTTCAGAATTCACCTCGAGAAACCAAAACTGGAATTAAAAAGGTCTGCTGAAACCCTTACGGTTTCAAACTTTCCAAAAACAATTGCCTGGAGTTCAAAGATAAATTGTGATTCATTTGAAGGGTTTTGTTCCTGATGATCCACTATTACAGGTTTGAAAACAATTCTTTTATTTTGGACATTAGTTCAATGCTGCACATAAGAAATCCAAGCAAGTCACTGCTAAAAAAAAAGTTCTCAAATCAAGAAGGAACCTTTTAGATAGCATTTGCCAACCTAAGCTCAGAATTCATAGTACTCTATGGTCCTGCCAGCTGATGTTTGATAGACACTGCATATTCTTGGTCATGTTGATGGTTTTATCAGAATTAACTCTCAGTGATGTGTGGATTTTAGTTTGTTCACAAAACGGGAATCTCAACTGCCTAGCACAGCAGCATTGAGGACAGCCACAAGATAAAACTTTGTTCCAGATTAACTCAATTCTGCTACTGACTTTCATTAACTTTCTAAAAATAGAACTGTCACTAAGGAGAAATATGTGTTTTTCTGTGCATGAAAGCATAGGACAATTTCCATGATCAAAACGGTCACGGTTACCAGCCCTTCCTACTCGGAGTAGAGTATGGTCACTGGGAAGTTAAATTTGGATTGCGGGGAGGGAGGAGGTCTTTGTGAATGGCAAATGTTGGCTGGCTTTTGGAAGATTCTTACAGGTCTGAAAATGAGGAGTTTGCATCTGTGTCCTTCATTTTCTGTTAAAACCTGCAGAGTGAACATTGGAAATACCACCGCTGTGCCTCTGATTGTTTCAGTGTAAACAGAGGCCCAACCTGAAAACCGGTGCTGTACTGAGCACAGCCCTGGAGCACATGAGATTGGTGGATGCCTCAGGGACTCTCCCTAAGGAAACCCAGGTAGCCTTCGACGTCAGCTTGGGGGGCTTGGGTTCTAGATGGAAATTGGCTCTTTTTTTTTTTTTATCTATCCTCACATGTGATTGGAGCAAAAACAATATAGGCTCACGTTGCCCTGTCGCCCGGAACTCATGGCACAGAGCAGGCCAGCAGCAACAGACCTTAGATCAAGGTACAAACGTGAGTTAAACCCCGTTGAAGCTGAATGCACACAGCAGCCAAGAGTCCCATGGAGACAAACTCAGGGCAGAGGGACCCAGCTGCAGATTCAACACAGCACATTATGGAAACGGGTCAGCATCTTTAGTCATCCACACAACGAGGCATCACTATACACACAACAGAATAGCTGGGATGAAAAGATCCGTGGTTCCCATTGCTAATGGGTGTGCAGAGCAATAGGTATTCCCATTGCGGAAGCTAATGTAAGTTGGCACAGCTACCTCGGGAAAAACTTCAGTAATATTTAAAAACTATGCCTCCAGGAATCCCACTTCTAGACAATAAAAATCAAGTGCCTATTCCACATGAGGTGCAGCAGTTGTCCCAACAACAGGTGTAACGTGGAACAAACTGGAAAAGTAGGGACATGTCAGAAAAGTAAGATTCTTGAGTAAACTCTTGGCATCAAAATTGTTGAGGCAGACAAGTGAGCAGCTCAAAGGGCCCAAGCCTCCATAGGAACAACAAGGGGGTAGGAAAACCTCAACCGTAATTGACAAGTTGCTGGAGGCTCAGAGTGAACAAATCTCATGAGTTTAAAACTGCTGGAGGGCCTGGTGGCAGGAACACCCCATGCTGTTAGAAATTTTACCTTTAAGAATCCATTCAGGGGCCCAGCACAGTAGCCTAGCAGCTAAAGACCTCACCTTGCACAACCCAGGATTTCATATGGGCACCAGTTCTAATCCTGGCAACCCTGCTTCTCATCCAGCTTTGAAATATTAATATCCGTATCAAGGAATTATTCAACTGCTACCTAACTCATCAGGTTTTATCAAGTCACCATCTTGAGGGAAAGGAAATAGCCAACTTCAGCCAACTCTAGCCATCCTGCCCTACCTACGGAGAAATGTAGAACATGAGAAACACATTGAAAGTTCACAGGTGGCGGTCACAAACTCATGGCAAGACTCAAACTTCTTCATCAAAGTAGAGATTTCCTCCTCTCCCTCCATCCTGTTCTTCCTCACACACCCTAACCCCAGCTAATACTTTCCCATTGATTCACAATGCACTGGAATTTCTTTTGCTATTTGTATCTGGTCTGGCTTCCAACAAAAAAAGGTACCAGGTGTACAAAATAGCAAACAGCACCATTTGAAGGGAAAGAGTAACCACAGCACCAGATTCAGACATGGCAGGATGCTGGAAATAACAGACTGGACACTCAAAACTACCAAGATGACATACTGAGAGGACAAATGGATGAGGTCAACAACATGCAAGAACAGGCGTGTCGTGCCGTCAAGAGATTCACAACTCTGAGTAAAAAATCAAGAACAATAGCATGAATTATGTTATAGCCCAGCAGCTTAAGCCCAGCAGCTTAAGCCCATTTGACAAACCTGTATCCTATAGTCATGTGTTAGTTCAAGGCCTGGCTACCCCTCTTCTGAGTCAGCTTTCTGACTATGCAACTGTGAAGGCAGCAGGATGATGGTTCAAGTACTTGAATCCCTGCCACTTAC